ATGGTGATCCAGGTGGAAAAAGGGTCCCAGCGTTCTCGTGCATCTCGCTCTTCTAGCTGGTCCATCTTCGTGAGTCGTTTTCCACAGTGGCGGTCATACAGACCAAACAAGCCGGTAAGGTACCAAATAGGAAATACGCACAGTGTAAATCGGATGTAGGTTTGACCAATCAGGGGCCTCCTATCTGTGACACTGTCTGCAGTTACCTACAGTTTTGAAGAGGTGCAGCAGAGTGTCTGCAGAAGGGGAGTTTGGCTCCAGTTCGTTGTTCCATCCACTCTGATTTTTGTTAAAGATTTTCTCAGAAATCACAGCAGTTTCATTTCCTACGTCTACTTCATGTTGTGTAACAGTGAATACCTCCAAATTAACGGTTTATTACAGCCAGTCTCAGAGTGTAATCAGCACCAAAATTACTTGTTTAAGTTTCACAGTTTCTTTAAGCTGTTTCCTATGAAGCATACATTCATTGTCTATGCATCATATTCAAAGCTGTTATGTGACTGTTGATTTTATGTCTTTGTAACATAGTTAAAATGGTTTAGGTTAAATCCTGCTAAAATGCACCTTCTGCTGGTAAAGTGCATTGCACCTTCACCTTAGGAAGAGCGGGGTATTATGGGTAACAAAGAATGTCACTGATGAGGAGCTTGTTTTATGCCAGAGACTGAGCTAACCTCGATGCCCATTATGTGAAATGCAGATGGAGATTTAAAGAAAAACAACTGATGCCAGCTTGAGCTCCCAATAATTTATTGCCACCGAGAGAAGCCACCAGATCCACATAGGCCACATATTTATCTGTTGTTTCAGGACACATCGGGCCTTTATGGAATCACTTGAAATGCAAACTTCTATTTTTGTTGTGATTTTTTAAATGTAGTTTTGGCCCAGTGGGGTAAACCACCTAATTTCTAAATGCTTCACATTTAACTGGTGTTTATATTTGAAAACAGATTTATCGGTTCGTACTTTTCATACAAAGAGTGACAGGAATGGTCTTTATATTTAACACGTTATTCTATAGTATTCTATAGTGGCTGGACATTTTTCCTAATGCTTCTCTGGTTCGATGCAAATTTCAAAACACGCATGCAGCTCTCGATTCTGTCTATTCTGACAAAACTAATTTTTGTACCAAACTAAATTCAACTAGAAAAGCACTTTGAGGGGGCAGACCTTCGCCAAGCGGCAACTTTTGCCCCAAATTACGAATTACTCTTATAGCTAAAACTTGTATATGATCTGGATCCTTACCCTATTTTAAATTAGATTTTCCTTGGCATGAGGAACACCTCTGGTAAAAAAAAAAAAAAAAAAAGGTAAATATAAAAAAAAGACATAAAATCCATTCATAAGGTTTCAACTGATCCTGTTGACAAGCCAACAACGTTCCCGTTTCTTGTGGTTTTGTCTTCAGAAAAATACCTGAGGCTACAAATACTCCCTGTTGCCACTATCTAGTTTTGTGGGGAACTGCTTGTTAGAGTGATAACTATCCTGTGTTTCAACCAGAAGGGTCATAAACTTTTATGACCACCTGTAGGTCATGAGGCAGAATCACACGTTTGTGTGACTTCCATCCAGCCAGTTGGTCAATTCACACTATCTTGTTACCTGCATCCTCGCAGACAATCATTACTGGGCCTTCTGTTTTAGGCCCGCCTGTTTGATGTTGTAAACTGTTAATAAAAGGCTTTGCTATGAAGGGATCTGTGGGAGAAGGTGATGGCTTTCCAAGCCAGCATCTTCTCTCCACCCGGCACACGCTGACGTCACAAAACCCTGTCTCTGTGTTGATCATTTTCCTTTTAATCTTTTAAACTCACATTTCTCTGGATTAAAACCAAACACTGCTATTTCCATCAAATATCCTTATCTCACAATGTTAGAGAATTATGATCATCAAGAAAAACTAATTGAATGTTCCTTGGAATGAGGGACACCTCTGATAAAAAATAAATTAAAATCCATTCATAACTTAATTGGTGAAAGAAATTACCAATTAAGAGAGAGCAAACAGGCCAGATCATGACAAATTCTCTACTACCAAAACAGAGAGTTTGCTTGAGGAGTAAAAAAAAATCTGTTCATAGCTTTCTCTTTTTTAATATTGTCAAAGCAAGTACTCTAAAAGTTGTATGCTAAATATTTTCAAAGCTGTCTAAATATCACATTCAGAATTCAGAGTGATATCAGCATGTACATCTGTTTAGGTTTTTTGATCACTTCACATAATAAAAAATAGTTTCTGTTTTTTTGTTTTCCTTAATGTTTAACTGATAAAAGTATTACTCGATTGTAAACTGACATTGGTAGATCTTAAAAGATTAAAGGCCTTTCAGCAGTTGGAATTAGCAAAAATGTCAGCTACTATTACCAGAAATAGCAAAGAGAGCATAAAGTTAAGGGTTGAATTGAAAACATCCTGGGCCAGTGGCTGGCTGAGGTTTAGGGTACCCTTTGTCCGTACAGAGTCAGGAAAAATTAGTCTTGAAGTGGTCTGCAGCTGAAGTTGAGGTTGGAGTCTCTTATTCCTTTATCTATTGTTAAACAAAAACTCTCAGACATTTTAAACACATCTGGCAGCTGTAACAGTAACTGAAATTATGACATGTTTAAATTTCAATTGGGTTTTCTATGTTACTCATATCTTGTTGTAAATAATTCATCCTTTTTGGCTGACAGGCCACACATGACTTTAACCTTGGTGTGTGTGGGATCATACATGGTTGAATTCTTCTGTTACTTTTATGTATAATGATGTACACGTAATGCTTTGTTTGCACATTGCGCTATATGCTGTTTTACATCTTGGCCAGGACATCATTATAAAAGGGATTCCAAATCTCAATGCTTTCTTTCCTCATAAAAGAAAGGTTTAATTAATAAAAAAAATCAAAATACAAAATACCGCATGTAGCAATAGTATTATGCAGAATGATTAAAAGTCTCCGAGTCTTCCAGCAGCCTAAAACTGTGTCCCTTTGCTCTGAATAAAATAAAAAAAATCAGTAATCTGTATGAATATTGATATATGTAGCTATTTTCGTTTTTGTTTTTTGCTTAAAACCCATGGCAATTTTTCATAGCTTTCTAATAATCTCTTCTTATATGACTATTGGTATCATATTACATTAAAGCTCCCTCATCCCCCTATAAACAGTTTATAGATATGTTATTACTAAATATGTCAACAATTAGTAATATATGTGTTTATTATGCATTGATTAAGGGTGAACAAGAAACAAAACTTACCTGTTTCTTGCTACGTGGTAAGCCTTAGCTGTTCAAAATATATTTCCTCTTGTGTTTCAGGCTTAGTTACTAGATTGTGAGCAAAAAAAACAATATACAATATACAATTATAAAACATTTATTTCAAACAAGCAAAAAAGAAAAGAAAAAAAAAAACAAACGGAACAAAACAAACAACAGCACAGCATAGAAAGTAATAACCACATCTATGGGTATGCGGACAACTTACATCTCCACATATCTTGTTACATATACATTTTATCCATTCTGTGTTCATGACCTTTTAATCGTCAGACACTTTAAGAAATTCTCATACTTCTCATTTATCTAAAAAAGATAATCAGACAATCATCTTTTGAAAGTTACAACTTCAGATATTAGATCTATCTATGAGTCGAAGGGGCATCACTAATAACCCATTTGGTCCATTGTAACCTTCTGAGCCAACATTAGGAGAAACTGAACATTCTCAGGGCCATGAGCTCTCAGGGGTCAGGTATAAGTCCCAGCAGACACATGAGTGGGCTGAGTGGGTTTGTGTGTCCTACCACCAAACTGATTTCTCTACATACTGCCTGCAAGAATACCCATATGTCACTGCACTCCCAAAGACAGTGATATGTAGTGCCTTTAGTTAAATTACATTTAGGACAATTTGGAGAAGCACCTGGAGAATAGATGCTGTATATATAGGGAAAATGTAAACATTGTGTTGGATATTGAACTGCTTTTCTTGGTATCTATTACAGATTGATGTTCTGGAAGGTGACATCAACATTTCCTCCCATGATTCAGATTCTATGCTCTCTCTGCTTTTTCTCATAGTAGCTTCATCTGGTCTGTTCGTGTTCGGCTGTGACACCATCCTTGAGAGAAATATCAGCTGTGTTGCTGCCTTCAAAACCTTTGCTTATAAATATTGGAGATTGGCCTGTTTTTCATTGTAGTCCTGTTTCTCTGACTGTGAGTGGCTAGATGTGCTCTCTTCATCCTCTGACATGGGAGTTGGCTCGGACCTCGTATGCCTGGCTGTGTGTTTCCCGGACGGGGCCGCCTGTGGAGCTGGTTCACAGTTGCCTTTTGTATCTCTGCTTCTTTCTGTATGTCTGTTTCTGTCTCCATGAACCCCAGTCGGCCTCGGCAGATGGCCGCTCATACGAGTCTGGTTCTGCTGGAGGTTTCTTCCTGTTAAAGGGGAGTTTTTACTCTCCACTGTCCCTACTAGCATGCTTGGTGCAATCAACAGTTTTTTCTTAGGTAGAAAACTTTATATCAATTTGACTGTATGATCTAGTGAACTGTAAAGTGCCTTGAGGTGACATGTCTTGTGAATTGGTGCTATATAAATAAACTGAATTTATTTGAATTTTATATTTTAAACAGTATATTCCAAGACGGTCTTAATTTTTCAGTTTGTCTACTGTTAAAGCCTGCAGTACAGAATAGAATCTTGACACAAAAACATCCACGTTTCTGGCAGCCGATTAAGGTTTGTTCAAGCAAGCATTTTACTATATTTGGTATTATTTAGTATATATGCAAATTTTTTTAGCATGGATATTCTAGTTAATGGATAATGAACTTATGGATGAGTTATAAAATGATTACAGATCAATTAACCTATCTATAAACTATTAATTTGCAATTTATAAAGGGACCCTAACTGTAAAGTGGTAAACGCCAATATACACCACAAGGTGGCGGTATTGTGCCATCAGGGTGGGAGTTTATCACTGTTACACAACCGGAAGTAGGAACTAGTAGAAGATGTTGGATCACAGGTGATCTCCGAGAGGTTGAATTTAAAGGTGGTTTTGGCATAATCTGGTTTGTGAGTGGATCAAGACAATGGCTGGTTGTAGTGGGGGGTGTTCGGAAGATGAAAATATGGATACAGAATGGTCTAGGGTAGGAAATAGAAGAGAGGGAAGAGATAAAATTAAAAAGGGATTAAATGTTGGAAAAAGATCTCTTGAGGATGAGGAAGAACGAATTGAGACAAGAAAGAAAATTATGATGGAAGACTGTAAAGTCATATTGAAATTTAAGGCTGGACAGGATATGAGTGGAGTAAGTCCTATCACCTTATCGAATGGACTAAAGAAATTTGTTGGAGACGTGGAGTTAGCTAAAATCCTGAGGGATGGAAGCTTACTTATCATTTGTAAAAATGCAGAACAAAAGAACAAGGCCCTAAAATTACAAATGGTGTGTAAAAGGGAAGTGATAGAAAGAAAGGTAGTTGGGGAGGAAAGAGGAGTGAAAGGAGTAATATCAGGGATTCCGGTAGGAGAAAACTTGGAGGAGCTAAAGAAAACAATAAGAGGAGGAGAGATTATGGGCATCAAACGTTTACAGGCTTTTAGGAATGGGGAGAAAACGGACAGTGCATCTGTTCTTCTGGATTTCAAAGGTAGAGTTCTGCCTGATAAAGTGATGATTGGCTACATGAGTTTCAATGTAAGAGCTTATATACCACCTCCTCTAAGATGTTACAAATGTCAAAGATATGGACATACTGCAAATGTTTGCAAAGGGAAACAGAGGTGTGGTAGGTGTGGAGGTGAACATCCTTATGGTGAGTGTGGAGATAATCCTGTTAAATGCTGTAACTGTGGTGGAAATCATAGTGCAGCGTATGCAGGGTGCATGGTAAGGAAAGAAGCAGCTGAAATCCAGAAAGTTAAAACTGATAAGAGAATTACTTACGCTGAAGCAGTGAAAGAAGTTAAAAAGAATGATAATGATCAGAAAATAAATTATGAAAGGAAAAGGATGGCAGACAATAATCAGTGTAATGTTACATTAGAAAAGTTGATTCCTTTTCTTGCATACATCATAAACTGTTCAGAGCAAGCAAAAACTAAAACTGAAAAAATAAAAATTATAGTTAAGGCAGCTACAAAGTTTTTTAGTATCAAAAACTTGTCTTGGGAAAAAATTCATGATGAGCTCAGGCATGGGGAAGGATCTCTGGAAAATGAGGCCTCTCAAATCATTACATAACTCTAATATTACAATGGGACACTCGCAGTTTATTAGCAAATGGTCAGGAATTTAAAGGCTTCATTAAAAATTTAAATAAAAAAAACAGATATAATATGCATTCAGGAAACATGGCTCAAGCCATCATTGCAGTTTAGTATTCATGGTTACTCAATATTACGTAAAGATAGAACAAGTGGGAATGGAGGAGGATGTGCCATATTTATGAAAGGAAAAGTTAAATTCATTCAGCTCTAAATAATATCAGATTTAGAATTTATTGCAGTAGAAATTTGGACAAATGAAGGGAATCTTAAAATTGCAAATTATTACAATCCTTAATAGAATCTTTAAAATAGAAAAGATAAAATTTGAAACAATATTAGAACACTGGTGAGGGAAAATAGTTTGGTGTGGGGACTTCAATGCACATAGCACTTTATGGGGAGATCAAGATGATTATAATGGAGGAATTTTAGAAGAGAACATTGAAGAAAAAGAATTGGTAGTTTTAAATAACGGGGTAGGTACTCGGGTAGACTTGGTAAGAGGTAAGGAATCGGCTATTGATCTGACTTTAGTTTCTCAATCTAATGCTAATAATTGCAGTTGGAAAGTCTCTTAAAATAATGAATAAGCATAATACAGGGTGTTGTATTTGTGGGAAATTAGAAATTATCCAACATATTTTTTTTAGAATGCAATAAATATACTCAGGAAAGAGAGATGTTGTGTAGAGAGTTAGACAGGAATAAAAGTAAACCAGATATAAGGGAATTGTTTCAAAGGTCATCTGGGGATGTAGTGTTTGGGAGTATTTTTAATTTTCTAAGAAGAACGGCTATTTTAGGGAGAATATAATAGTTTGTCTGATCCATACTCCATTCTGGAAGGTGGCGGTAATGCACCTATAAGTTGTTTGCCAACCGCCATTAAAAAAAGAAGAAGAAGAAGAAGAAGAAGAAGAAGGGCTCTGTTCGAAAACCTAGGACGTGTCCTCCAAGGACGCGGTCTACCTAGACTGGATCCTTCGAAGTCCTTGAAAATAAGGAGACCGGAAGAGTTTTGGCTGTAAATTCGACCAGGTCTACCCTTTGGCGGGTTTTACCGCCGTATGCTCTGTTGCTTAGCAACCGTGAACGTTGACACACAAAGCAGGAAAAGAATAACAGAACAGAAGTTTTCAAAACTGTTTATTTATTTCTTTGTTATTGTGAAGTGAACAAAGACTACACTCACAAGAATCCAGAGTGGAATAAAGGTTCCAACCACCGGGAGCAGGAACAAATAAAATCAAATGTAATGATAGAAACCTTTGTCAGTTAAATAACCTGCTGCTGTCATTCTGCACATCTCTGATGTTGCTGCTATTTTCAAATATCCATTACTGTAAAAATGTCCATAGCTGCATATTGGTTATTTATTCTCCAGTTTTATATTGTTAAAACACTTTACAGTATTTTATTGTTTATATTTTAACTCTTCCTATTATGTTATTCTTATACATTTTTCTAAGGTCCTCATTTGTGTGACCATTTTCAATAATCTTTCTGCTGCTGTAAATGTGCCCATTGTGGGAAAATAAAGAGATTTTCTATTCTATTCTATAAAAGGGGTAGAAAGATATAAGTAAATCTAAACAATATATGTATAAAAAATATATCTGCAAAATCTCTAATATTCAACAACAAAAAATAGGAAGTTAAGCATATTGTGCAAAATAGCAATAAAAAGAATAAAATCCTATCAGATTTATAGTCCCCACAGTGCAGATATATTAGAATCTGTCCTTAAATTCCAGCCAAACCCATTTACACAGTAACAGATTAAAACCTTTAGATAAACCAAACATTACCGCCACATATCTGACTCAATAACCATTAAAACAACTATTTTCATTCATTTCAGGCGGAACTATTCACAGAGTTGTATTATATTAAACTGAACTTCCAATTTTCACCACTGTTCGGCGCCAAGTAACCTTTCCTCTGATCACGGCTTGCTTGGTCTCGCAATGAATCCTGGGATATCCAAGAATACCGAGGATACATCGGACCCGTCCTTCAAATCGGGCAAAAAGAAGGACGCATTTTAAGGCCGCATAACGAGGACTCTTGGAATCCGACCAGACCTCGGCGCCGCGCTATGACGTAATCGGCCTTCGAATCCGGTCTTCTAAGGATGCGTCCTAGGTTTTCGAACAGAGCAATGATCTCCGAGAGGAAAGGAACACCGGAGGTGGGTGGAGTTTGTACTGCATCCGGAGGCTCGCGCGCGTACAGCAACGGAAACTCCTGCAGTCACTCAATTGGGGGAGCGGAGAAGCTCTCGGTTGGACGGTGCTGGCGGAGCAAAAATTTGTTTTGTTGAAGTTAAAGTGACGGAGGTGTAATTTGGAGTTAGTTGTAGATAACTTTAAATAAGGAAGTAAGATGGAAGAATGCGAAGAATTAGATGACTCGGATAATTGTAGTATGAGTAGTGATTATTGTAATAGAAGTGGTAAAACAGGAAACTGGCAAACAGTGAGTCGAGGAAATAAGAAAAGGAAAGGCTTTGAATCTGATGAAGAAAAAAAAGAGGAAAATACAAGAAATGAAATGAAAGTGATTCTTAGATTCCAGAACCCATGTGCATTGAATCCGTTAAAGATAAGTGAGGCAATATATAAAATAGTAGGTGAAGTGAATACAGTCAAAACGCTAAGAGATGGCAATCTATTGGTATTATGCAGAGATAGAGATCAGGTGCAGGGACTAATGAGAAGCAAGACATTGTTGGGAAAAACAATCAAGCCGCAAATATGGCAGGAAAGAGGAAAAGTAATGGGAGTAATATATGGAGTATCAACTGATTTGACGGAGGAAGAGATTAAAGGTAATATAAAAGGAGCTCGAGTGATTAAAGTGAAACGTCTGTTTGCTACAAGAGAAGGAGTTAAAAGTCCTAGTAAATCAGTTATGTTAGTACTAGAAGAAGATAGATTACCTGAAAAAATGATGATTGGGTTTGTCAGCTATACAGTTAGGCAATACATTCCTCCACCAACCAGGTGTTACAAATGTCAGAGGTTCGGACATATTGCTGCTGCTTGCAGAGCTAAGGCCAGGTGTTCCAAGTGTGGAGGGGAGCATGAATATGGGAAATGTTCTGAAGGAACTAAGTTAAGGTGCTGTAACTGTGGTGGGGAACACAGTGCTGCATTTAAAGGATGTGAAGCTCATAAAAGAGCAGTACAGGTACAAAATATACGTGTCAAAGAAAAAGTTACCTATGCAGATGCAGTTAAAAAGGTAAGTAACTCAAATGTTAATGCTAAAAGTATTTCTGTGCCTCACACTCCACCTCAAAAAACAGAGCAAACCCAGAGCCTGAATACCTCAGGAAATACAATGATTGTGGATAAAAATAAATTTGTTGCATTTATTGTGGAAGTAATAAATTGTTCAGCTCAGACAGATAGTAGAACAGAGCGAATTAAAATAATAATCAAAGCAGCAGAAAAATACCTTGAGATGGAAGACCTGTCTTTTGAGTCAATCAGTGCAGTTTTAACAGGGATTAATGAAAGTCAACAGTCCAGGAGTGGTGACAATTGATGGTTTTATCCATATTACAGTGGAATGCAAGAAGCTTAATTGCTAATGGCCAAGAATTAAAATATTTTATTGAAAGACAGAATGTTAAACCAAATATAGTATGTATTCAAGAAACCTGGTTAAAACCATCACTTGATTTTATTCTTAGTGGATATATTGAACTACGTAAAGATAGAAACCCAAATGTAGGAGGAGGTGTTGCCATATTTGTTCAGCAGGGAATTAATTATAAAGTTTTAAATATAAATGAAGAAATAGAAGTAATAGGGATTGAGGTATGGATTAGTAAATCAAAATTTAATATAATAAATTATTATAATCCATGTAAAAAAATAAGTAGAGAAATACTGGATAGTATTTATGTGAAAGAAAATGTTAAAAATATTTTATGTGGAGATTTTAATGCTCATAATACCTTATGGGGAAGTAAAAGGAATGATGAAAATGGAAACATAATTGAGGAATTTATGGATGATTATAACTTAACTTGTCTAAATGATGGAAGAGGTACTAGATTTGATGTAGGGCATGGAGCAGAATCTGCAATTGATCTTACTATAGTCTCAGATCAGATAGCAGGAATAAGTCAATGGGAAGTAATGAATGATAACTCCCTTGGAAGTGATCATTATCCTATTCTGCTTAAATTAAATAATTTTAAAGTAGCAGTTGAAGAAAATTGGTATCCTAAATGGAGAATGAGGGAAGCTAATTGGGAAATGTACAAAAAGATAGCAAGTGACATGTTTATGGAGATTATGCCAAACTTAAGCAATAATATTGAAGAATTAAATTCAATGATTACAAATATAATATACGAATCTGCAGAAAAGGCCATTTGCAAATCTACTGGATTGAAGAAAAAGAAAATGGTTCCTTGGTGGAACAATGAATGTAAAGAAGCTATTAAAGTTAGGAATAAAGCATTTAAAAAGTTAAAAACAAATCATTCATTTGATAATTTAATATTATACAAAAAAGCACAATCTAAAGTTAGGAGAACAGTTAAACTATCAAAAAAGAATTATTGGAGAAGTTTTTGTAGTACAATTGGAATGGACGTTAAAATAAATGAGATCTGGGGAATGATTAGAAAGATGGGAGGAATTAGAAGGGATTTTTCTTTACCTATAATTAAAGATGATCAGTGTGAAGCTATAACAAACAAGGAAAAAGCAGAGATGTTTGCAAGGTCCTTTGTGAAGGTGCATAGTTCAAAAAATTTATCAAATGAAGAATTATCATGGAGATTGGAAATGATTGAAGATAATAGAGAAATTTTAAATAGAAAAGAGATTGATGGAAGTATTTTAGATAAAGAATTTACATTGTTTGAAATGAATAGAGCATTGATAGGAGTTAAAAATACATCTCCAGGTAAAGATGGCATATGTTATAGGATGATTGAACATTTATCAGATGATGCTAAAGGAATAATTTTGAAGTTATACAATAAAGTATGGAAACAAGGTGAATTGCCCTTAAGCTGGAAGCATTCAATCATTGTACCAATATTAAAGCCAGGTAAGGATAAAGGAGAGGTTAAAAGTTATAGGCCTATAGCTCTTACTTCTAATTTATGTAAATTGATGGAGAGAATGATAACTAGGAGATTAATGTATGAAATAGAAAAAAGAGATCTTTTATCCCCTTATCAGAGTGGTTTTAGAAGTGGACGGACAACAGTAGATCCAATTGCTTGTTTAGAAAATGAAATAAGAAAGGCTCAGGTAAATAAAGAAATTCTCTTGGCTACATTTTTTGATATTGAAAAAGCATATGATATGCTTTGGAAGGAGGGTTTATTAATTAAGATGAATAAAATGGGAATCAAAGGAAAAATGTTTAATTGGATTAAAGATTTTTTAAAGAATAGAAAAATAGAAGTAAGAGTTGGGGTAAATTATTCAAACATTTATGATATACAAAATGAAACTCCACAAGGTAGTGTATGTAGTCCAGTGCTTTTTAATATAATGATTAATGATATTTTTGATAATATAGATTTTAGAATTAATAAAGCATTATATGCAGATGATGGGGCATTATGGGTGAGAGGAGGGAATCTTAGTTATTTAAAAAATAGAATGCAATCAGCAATTAAAACGGTAGAAAGATGGTCACACGAATGGGGGTTTCGTTTGTCTGTTGAGAAGACACAAGTATTATGTTTTTCAAGGAAAAGGGATAATCCAACAGTAGATCTTAGATTATATGGGCATGAATTGAAACAGGTAAATATGATAAGGTACCTTGGTGTATGGTTTGATGAAAAACTTTCATTTAAGATACATATGCAGAAGATTATTGATAAATGTAAAAAAGGTATTAATATATTGAAATGTTTGTCAGGGAATGACTGGGGGGCAACTAGCTCATCCTTGAAAAGAATATATGATGTTTTAATTCGATCTGTGTTGGACTATGGATGTATTGTTTATAAATCAGCTGCAAATTCTTTGTTGTTAGATTTAGATAGAATCCAAGCCAAAGCGCTTAGGATATGTAGTGGTGCTTTTCGAACATCTCCAGTTCCTGCTCTTCAAGTGATTACTGGAGAAATGCCACTGGACTTAAGGAGGATGAAACTGTCAATAAATTACTGGTTAAATTTACAAGGGCATGAGGAAAATCACCCTACTAAACAGATATTCAGAGAATGTTGGGAATATGGCCATAATATAAGGAGTTTTGGATGGGAAGGAAATATTTATGCAGAGTATTCTGGGATAAGTAATATAACATACTGTAAAACTGTAACTACATCTAAAATTGCTCCATGGTTTTTCGAAATGCCAATAGTAAATTTAGAAACTAAAAAAATAGAAGAGTCTTGTGGAGGTTTGTATCAAATTATTCAGCAGCATTTAGAAGTAAGGTATGAAAATATGACACAAATATATACAGATGCATCAAAAGAGGAAAATGGTAAAACAGGAGTAGCAGTATATATTCCAAAAGAAAATATTTCTATCAAGAGAAGAACAACAGATAACTTATCAATTTTTTCAGCAGAGATGTTGGCAATTATTTTAGCGTTGCAATGGGTGCTGGAGGTGAAGCCTAGAAATGTAGTTATCTGTTCAGATTCAATGTCTTGCCTGACTAGTTTTAAAAGTGGAAAATCTGAAAGCCGTCAAGATCTTTTAGATGAAGTCAGTTATTTAATGTATGGTATAAGGCAACAAAATATAAGTATTCAATTCACATGGGTTCCAGCACACAAAGGAATTTTAGGTAATGAAAAAGTAGATAAGTTAGCTAAAGAAGCAGTTAAAGTAGGAGAAATTGAATATGATGTCCCGCTAAGTAGAACAGAAATAAAAGTAATTATTAAAGATAAAATAAATAAGGTATGGCAGAAGAGATGGAATTTAGAAAAAAAAGGAAGACATTTATATAAAATACATAAAGATATTAGCATAAGATATAACAGTATAATGAGTAGAAGAGAGGAAATATGGATAAACAGGTTAAGGATTGGGCATACTAGTTTAAATGCAGGTCTAAAAATAATAGGGAAACATCCAACGGGTAATTGTTGTTATTGTGGAGAAATCGAAGGAGTAGAACATGTGTTGATCTATTGTAGCAAATATACAAAAGAGAGGAAAGAACTGGAAAGGGTAATGGGGAGTTCAGTAAAGATGGCAGATTTATTAGGGAAGCATCAATCAGATAAGATAATTAAAGCACTTATTAAATATTTAAAAGATACAGAATTAGCTGGGAGAATTTAGTGTGTGTATGTGCGTGTGTGTAAGTATAGATAGAATTTAGTTTCATGAAGATATAAAGATATACAGACATTATATTTCTGAATTACATCTCCGTCCAGTTGATGGCGGTAATGCACACAGGATGCAAACTGCCAGAAAACTCAATAGAAGAAGAAGAAGAAGAAGATCTCCGAGAGACTGTTGGACCCTCAGAGCCTTTAACAGACAGCTGGGTGGGCCGAACCAGTTACCAGAATGAAAACTAGGTCCGTAAAACATTTCATTTAACCCCGCACTGCTGAAGCTGAGTTCGGCTGTTTGCTTCGGAAAAAGAGGCTAATTTTCCTCCCAGAACCGGAGCCAGCAGCCTACAGGAGCCGCTGAGGACACAGAGACAGAGGGACAGACAGGGATCAGCTCAGTGAGTAACTCTGCTGCACATACAGCTGTTATAGACCCACTGGAGATGAAATCAACTGCTAACAATCTATGTGTGACGCCCCCTGTGTTTAAAGGGAAGGTAGCTGTGATGAGGCCTGTTTAAAATACTTTCAATGCAACGTTTTATATCTGTGAAGATTCTCAGTCATCCAGGTCTTGGTTAAGCAGTGAGATAAATATACTGTGGGTCTAATTAGGTAGCTTTGATTGGATCGGCCAAGGTGTCCTCCTCTGTTAACAGCTAATCTGGTTCTCCAGGATTCATCTGAAGATGTTTTACAACTGATTGAGGACCTTTAGTTCATATTTTCAGATAGTTATTATAAACAGGGTTAATATAAGCTGTTTTGCTGATTTATGGTTGTCATTTATGAGCATATACCCCCAGGCGCTGGTGTGCTTATCTATTACTCAGTTTGGATAAATGAAAGTTCCTCATGAAAAAATAGGAGTCAGTAAAAGGAAAACTGAGGGAGACAAGATCTGCATGATCTGAAAATGTTGGTTTCAGAGGTAACCACCCACTTACTGTTTTTTTATTACGTTGTGTTGGCTAATATTAACATAATAATAATAATATGTGTGATGAGATTATTCCAGAAAAACCCTAGTATCAAAGTTTCCAGCCTCCAATAGAGTCCCCTCCGTCTCTCTGTGAGGTCTAGAATCACAAGATCTATTTTTCTTAATATATGCGATCAAGTTGGCATTTCTTGTTATTACATTGACATTCATTTATGCCATCAAAATATACATATTTTCTGAATGTTGCAAAGGTAATATGGTCTTGTCTGGGATTCCAATAACACGCTACAAAAGTGATCTATAAATTTGTGAAAATGTCTTAAAATAAGTGTATTTACCCTTAATTTGAGTACATAAATAAGAAAATCTCCCAGTGGATGGAGCATTTTTAACCTTAAATTCAGATTGTTTGATATTATGCATGTATTTTTCTTATTTTAAATGTATATTTTCTTATTCCATTTGCAAAGTGTCTCACTTACCTGCTCAATTAAAGAAAAAATGCACTTATTTTAAGAAAATTTAACTTACTTTGATTTCAGTTTCTTGCAGTGCACTCTTTGCTTAGATATTTAAAGTCTTTCAGTGTGTGCCCTATAAAGGGTTAACTTTAGTTTTCACTAAATCAGTTACGTTCTAATGTTTTTGGATTGGCTTGTGATTATATTATGTCTCTGTTTTAGAATAGTGCAAGATTGATAGAAGAGGAGAGAGGAAGGAGATGGTAAGACTGATGGAAAGGAGACTGAACTAGAGAGGAGGAAAATAGCAGCACTGATGAAAAGAACAGTTGAAGAAGATAAAGTAAAGCAGACAGACGCCAGAAGAGGGCTAGAAAGAAAATGACCTCAGTAACCATCCAGAGATACCTGGTTTAATCAGATTGTCCAGTAATGAAGGACAGGAAACAAAGGAGCTGCTGAAGTTCAGGAAGTAATGGAGCTGTGCATAAAGTCTGTTAGAAGGAGAATCTGTCTGAAAGGAGATATACTTGCGATTCACTTTATCTCATTTATTTCAAATTATAACAAAGGCAAAATAGGCAACATTTACAAACAATTTAGTGATATTCGTTTCAGATTATAAATGACTTAAATTCTGTTTATTTATAGATAATCTGCTTATTTTTGCCGAATTAAGAGACACTTTGATAATATGCAACTTAAAGAAAGCACAATGACTTTATAAACATCCATCTCTACCTCCCTCCCATAGTGGGACCAGTGCCTGTCTCCGGCAGTCTATGGGAGAAAGGTGGGGTCACCAGGGCTTTATAATCGTATAAAAAAATAATTAAAATTTTGCTCCAGCTGATAGAGGTGTATTTGCTTATGTATGTTTATGTTCCAATTTTACTCATGTGGCATATGATTTTTATGTTCTTTGTTATTGTTTATTGACATTTTGTATTGTAATGAATTTTTCAATTTATACACGAATGAAAGATAAAACAAGCACAAAAAAAGTAAAATAATTACACAAAGAAATTTTTTTAAACAAAACCGGGCCCTTTCCCAATCTGCTTTTTTGTGCCCAGAAATGTCTTTTGAAAAAAAAAAAAAAAATTCTGCAAATCATTTCAACTTGTTTTAATATTCTTTGGAAATTAGTATCCCAATACAGTTCATTTAAAACAAATATAAATATATTGACGTTTTGGTGGGGGGGGGTTTCCAAATGTGCTTCAGTTTACGGGCCAAACCCGGCGATTAACCCCTCTCTCATCAGTAATGAGGCGCCGGGGGGGATGAAAATGACAGGCTGTAGCGGAAAATTTCCCCCCAAAAAATTTTTCCCATAAAGCTGTAAAAAGGAAAAAAAACTTTGTAAAAAAAAAAAAAAAGTTTCAAAAAAATTTCCCCCCAGTTAAAACAAACAGAGTGATGTACTTTATTTTATTTTGTGTGGCGACTTTTGGGGGGAAATCAGAAATTTTGTGCAATTTAAAAATTTAAACCCAAAATTAAATTTTTTAACCCCCCTGAACCTCCCTGGGGAATTTCCCCAAAGGGAATTTTCCCCCTTTTTTTAAAGGGGTACAAGGTTCATTAAAAAAAAGGGTTTGGGTTTTCCGATTTTTTGAAGAGTTTCGTTTCCCCATCCGGGAAAAGTTTTTTTAAATTTTTAAAAAATGGGAAGCAAAACCGTTTTCCATACTCGGAAACCAAGTCCATTTGGGTTTTTTTAAAATTTTTTTTTTGGGAATGTTTTATGACCTGGATGCCCTAAAAAACCTTCATCAGCATACGTACACAGGTTCAGTTATGCAGGGGTTGAGACATCTGAGACAGTTTTAAATTTACACAGAGCTATTTATTCAATTCTTTTTAAAATACTCTTAAAACCATTTCTTTATAATAACAAAAACAGAAAAACAAAAGAAAGTAGAATAACTGAGTTACCAGCAGAGGGGGCCACTAGGGGGAAAATGCTTTTCCCACCAAACAAAAGAAAAAACAAAAAAAAAAAACCTTTAAAGCCCCAAAAACCGCATTTGAGAAAACCCCAAACCCCAGGAACCCCGGCACACAGCCCAAACCTAAAAAAAACACCACTATACTTGTTCATTTAAAAAATTTTACCAAAGTAACTTTGTAAGTAAACTTCATTTTTTTGGTGACGGGCCCACATGATACCTGCCCAAAAAAACCCCCTTTTTGGCTTTTTCCCCTGCAGTCAAAAATTTTAGGGGGTTTGGGAACGCGTCAATAGTGGGGGAATTTGATTTTGGGTATGTCACTAGATCCCAAAAAAAAAACCCCCCTTTGTATTGTTCAGGATGTTTTTTTAAAGGGGTTTAAACCCCACAATTAAAACCAAACCCAAAAAAAAAATTAAAAAAACCTTTATGTACGAATGGGGTGTTTTCATAAAATTGTTGACAAGGAAGCGCAACACATATGTCCAAACCCGCAAGATCTTTTTTTTTTATTAGATGTTTGCACTATTCGGGCGGCTCCCCAAATTTATAAAACCCCCTTTCACATTTTTTCGGGGGAAAAGGAACCCAAGATTTTTCCCTGCAGTGGGTTTTTCCTTTTTAAATTTATTTTTTATTTATATCACAATTTAAGCAAAATATAAAAGAAAAAAATGCAGAGATAAACTCGGTGTCCTCAATGGTAGTTACAGCAATTTCCCAAATCTGAAAAAAAAACGGGTAGCTGCGGGTTTTTGCATCTTTTTTTTACTTCGGGAAAATTAGGTTTTTTTTCAGGTTGACACAAAAAACATTTTTTGCAGTTTTTTGTCCCCCAAAGGAACCCATTGGTACAAGATAATGCAGTTTTACTTTTCCCTGTGATAAAGGGTAAACATGTGTAAACAGTAAAAAAAAACCCCAAATGGGTTTTTTTTATGTTAATAAAAAAAATTTAAATCGGTTCAATCATGTCTTTCAAACGGATTTTTGCTCATCTTATCATTTTTTGCAGCAATTTTGTAAAATCACCAGAAACTTCCCCAAGCTTTTTAAAAAAAAAAAAATTGCATGTCTTTTTTTGCCCCAAATTTTATTTGGAATCTGTAAAAATTTTAAAAAATGATACAATATAATAAAAAAAATATTTAAAACAAAAAAAACATTTAGGGATCCCGGAAAGGGGAAAATTTTATTGCCACAGCAGAAAACCCTACTGGCTTTTCTGGGAAAAAAAGGTTTTTCACAAAAAACAAAAATTAAAAGTTTTTTAAAAAAAAAACAGAACAGGGCCATTTTTTTTCCAACCCAACTCTTAGTTTTTTCATCTCCTTTAAAAATTTATAAATTTTTAATAGCCTTCACCCTCTATTTTAACCCAAAGCCTTCTACCAGTGTCAGTGCCAGATTATTTTTTCTATCTGGTTCTTGACCCTCCCGTCTCCTTTAATTTTTTTATTTCCCGATCTGTCCTCAGATTTCTTGTGCTTCTCCCTTGGGGTAAAATCTGGAACTGTTCCCCTGACCCCTTTCCTGGACCCCCCTTTCCCGGTCCCTTTTTTGGATTTTTGGTTGCCCCCTTTGACCCCCTGATTTCCCTTGGACAGGGGGTTTTGGTTTTGGGCCCTGAGGGTTAAACCCTTCCCTTCCCTTTCCCGTCTGCCGGTTCTGATTTTCCTGCCTGTTCTGACCCCCCGGGAAATTTCACTTTTCTGGGATCTCTGGACGGTCCCCAAAATTTTTGGTTTTCTTGTTGGCGTGATGGTTTAAAACCAACGTATCCTCGGGGCTTGGATTTAACCTTATGACCATTTTTAGTCCCCATGTTCATTATCATCCTCCGCCAGATAGCCCTTGGTCATAACCTGTGTTTTTCCCCCTGCAGGGGTTTCCCTAGTTTCCCCAAACCCCCTTCGCTGTTCCCCTGCGATTTTCCCTAAATTAAAACATTTTTTGGGAAAATTTTTTGTCTCCCTTTTAAAAATAGGTGTTCAAGTTCTGAGCCTTGACAATTTTAACATTTGTTTAAATGCATAAAAAGGTTTTTTTTGAAAAAAACTTTCTTTTGGGGAAAGGGTCATGTTTTTCTGTAATGGGGTTTTTCTCTCTAAGTTTTTAAACCCATTTTATCTGTAAAAAAAAAGCGGGATGAAAAATTAAACCCCAAAAATGTTTTTATGTTTTACATTTGCATCAGAAACTGACCTGTGAACTATATTTGATTTAACATCGCCGCCATAGTTTAGCCGTATTATCATAAACTGTTTAATATAAAGAAATCATCTATTTAATAACTGTACTGATTTCATGAAATGACAAGGTGCAATTTTTTTTTTGGATTCCCATTAAATAACCTATTTTTTCTCTTTCTGTTTTTCTTTTATTCTCCTCTCTTCATCTTTTTGGTAAACATTCACAACAAACTAATGTTATCAAATATTATTGATTTCTTCCCCCTTTTTTTTTTTTTAAAGAAATTTTAAAATTTTTAAAAGCCTTTTTTTTGCTTTTTTTTAAAAAGCCGAGGGGGAAATTTTCAAAAATTATTTGGGTTTTTAAATTTATTCGGGGGTTTAACAATTTTTCTAATGAAATTTGATCTTAATATGGTTTAGGAATTTAGATGGAATTAGGAAGTACAGGATTATTTTTTTTAAAAGGGTTAAAAAAATTAAATTTTTTTTCATTGTTGTTAAAAAAAAAAAAAAAAAAAAAAAAAAATATTTTAAAAAAAATTTATTTTTAAAAATTAAAAAAATAAAAAAACCCCCCCAAAAAAAAAAAAAAAAAAAAAAAAAAAAAAAAAAATTTTTTTTTTTTTTTTTTTTTGCAAAAAAAAAAAAAATTAAAAAAAAAAAAAAAAAAAAAAAAAAAAAAAAAAAAAGGGAGGCTTATTTTTTTCTAAGTGTTATTTTTTGGGAAATATTTTTATTTATTACTGGGAAGCATTTGAAGTAAAACCAAAAGGGCCCCCTTAAACGGGAAAGGGCCTGTTTTTTGTTTTTTTTATAAATTTTTTTTTAAGAGCTTTTTTCCAAGAACAAAAGTGAAATTTTTTTTAAAGGGAGAGGTCGTTAAGAAAAATTTAAAAAAAATAGTATGAAAGCCCAATTGTGTTTTTTTTGGGCCCATGTGTTACAGGGGAAAGCTTGTTTTCCCCAAATACTTAAAAAAAGGAATTTAAACTATTGATAAAAGGATGGTTGAAAATTGCCCACCATGAATATTTTTTTGTTGAGATGGGGTTTTCTATCCCGGAAAAAGGGAAACCCTTGGGGGACTTGTGTTGGGTCTCCCCCCTTTAA